GAGGCTGAGGCAGGAGGATCACTGTGAGTTCCAGGCCAGCCTGAGCTACATAGTGAGTTCCAGGTCAGTCTCAACTACATAGTGAGACCCTGTCTCAAAAACAATCAAAAATAAAATAAAATAAAACAAAACAAAACTAGAAAGGAGAGGGCCAAGGATTTAGCTCAATGGTTCCACCACCTACCTTGCAAGCATGAGGTCCCAAATTCAATTCCTGGTACCAAAAAAAAAAAAAAAAAAAAAACAACAAAACAAAACATGCTAGATATGAGAATGAAAAACACAATCCAATTAGAATTTAGAAAAATTACAAACTACCACGGCATTTCAATAATTTGTAGAAAAAATAAAAAACCACAAAGGTCCCAGAAAAATAATAGGTGTTCAGAATCTTCTTATATCTATATTTATCATCTCCCTACAATGTCAGAAAAGTGTAGTTTATTGTTGCACTCAATCCTATTTCATTTTCTTAATTTCAAAAGCAAAGTTTGCATACCAAAGGAGAAAGGGCAAAGTTGTTTTTTATGTACATAACTCTCAACTAATTTTTTTCTCTAGTTCCCATCCCAATAGAAAATGGTTTCTTATTTGCTCACTGAAACAGAGATGTAATGAGGTTAAAAATCATCCTTTTTTTTTTTCCTTAAAGCACTTCAAATAATACACCTGAGCATACCTTATCTAAAACACTTGGGAACAGCAATACTTCAGATTTTGGAATATTTAAATAGATTTTACAAAATGAGCATTCCTTACCCTAAAATCTGCAACCTTAAATGCTCAAATTTTCCAGATTAGGGATGCTCAACTTGTATTACAAATACATGGTGTTTCAAAATAAGAGGTTAGTGGTCTGTGGTAGAACACTTGCCCAGCACACACGAAGCTCTTTCAGAGGTGGCTGGATCTAGAGTGTGTGACGCTGGGACTGACTCATGGTGCAGTGCTAGGATCAGGGGCACTAGGAATAAAGGCGTGAGTGCTGCCCCCCATAAGTAGATAAAAGGGCAGAACGATGCTGGTAAGGTCCCCTGTTGCTTTTGCTGTCTTTGCCTGAAATGAGTTTCTCTTTTGTGATGCCCCTGTCATATGCCACCCTGCCTCAGAGGCAGCCAACTATAAACTGTAGCCTCCATGAACTGTACGTCAAATAAACCTTTCCTCTTTTAACTTTGGGTGTCAGATATTCTGTCACAGAAATGAGAAAAGCAGCTAAGACAGGAGCCCTGTCTCAAAATTTAAAAATGAGTTGGGGATCTAGCTTTCTGCAAAGGCTCCAGAACCACAAAAAATAAGTCAAGAGTTTAGACACCAGTCCTGTCTCTCTCACACACACCCTTACCTGCTATCAGAAGTCAAAAAAAGTTTAACCTTAAACTTTAAAACTTTCTTTTGCTCAAATTTCCAGAAAGCTTATTTCTGAGGTCTGAATGGTGCAAAACAAAAGCATTCAGACTAGATTTTAAATATTTTTTAAAAAGGTCATATTCCAAAATTCATTTCATGGGTGACTTCACCCAACAAAAACATGATGGGATTAATTTACTGCCACAACTCAAATACCTTTGACTTCTCAAACACATTAAGAAATTTTTAAAAAGAAAGGTTAACTGTCAGTTAAATTTGTGTAAAAAAGTAACAGTCGTGGTGGAGCAACGCCTGTAATCCCAGCACTTGGGAGGCTGAGGCAGGAGGACTGCTGTGAGTTCGAGACCAGCCTGGGCTACATAGTGAGTTCCAGGTCAGTCTCAACTACATAGTGAGACTCTGTCTCAAAAAAAAAAAAAGTAACAGTCAAGGCTGGCGATGTAGCTGCGGTGCTGCGCCTGTCTCACAAGTGCAAGGCCCTAGGTTCAATCCCAGCCAGGTACCAAAAAAAACCCATTCAGCCAGGCCAGGAAACTACTACATGCACCTATAGTCCCAAAACTATAAAGCCTGAAGTGAAAGGACCACTTAGGCCTAGAACTTCAAGACCAGCCTGACAACACAGCTCCAGGAAAAAACAAAACAAAATTCATATACATAAAAATTATCTGAGGGTTTTTTGGCTTTGCTTTTGAGACAGGGTCTCACTATGTAATCCAGACTAACCTTAAACTCGCTATATACCCTAAACTGGCCTCTGGCCCTAGTGCCCATCCTCCTGCCTCAGCCTCCCAAGTGCTGGAATTACAAGTGTGCACCACCACTTCCGGCAGAGAGGTACTTTTGAGGCAAGTTTTTGCTTATTTGAGCTATATCTAATCAAAATAGTTCCAATAAATTTCTAATGTGGTCACAATTAATAAAGAAAAATATTCTATGTGTCTGAGTACATATCTACACAGACACTTTGTAAACCCCAAAAATGTTATGGTATCTTCTTCCACATACAATATAGGATGAGATATATGCCTGAATAGACATCTTTAGGAAAGTTCATGATTCACTTTAATTCCCCCATCTCGCTTCCCACCCCGGTCACATGAAGAGTAAGAAAAATTCACATACAACAGTGATTGACAAACTGGAAAGGGGGAAGCAACTACAAGTTTATTAAATATCTGAGAACAATTTAGACTTTAACGTTAAATCTATATTTCAACTTCTCCTAAATATGTAATTTCTCTCATATGCTGAGACGCTCAATTCCAACATCTCCAGTTATCATCATATAAACACCTTAAAGGGCCGGTAGCTCAGAGGTGCTGCTGCCTGTCTAGCAAGTGCAAGGTCCCGAGTTCGATCCCCAGTACCAAAATAAAATAAAATAAAATAAAATAAACAACTTACAAACGACCATAGAAAGCTCAGGTTAAAAGAGTACAGAGTACAATAAAATTACAAATATATCTACAAACTCAAAAGTTACATTCCTGATAATTCTAAAATGAAAAGTTTTGTGTTTTTCTGAAAAAGTTCTGCTTAACAAGGAACATAAAAAAACTTTTTCAACCAATGTTCAATACAATAAAGACTCCAGAGTTCTGAATTTAGCAACTTTCTGTAAAAAGGGTCTTAACCCACGGATTATGCTAACTTTTCTTCAAACATCTAAGTACATCAGTTTTTCATCCTTTAAAAGATGACACTTTATAAACTACTATTCATCAGTTGTTTCAAGAATCTCTTGTATCCGTCTTACTTATTACTTCACGGAGAACAGTGTATAACTATACTGACTGTAACTCTGAAAGGGCAAACATCCAGTTAAGTGATATGTTTGAAGCCACCTTCAGAACAGAAATGCAAGTTAGATGAAAAGGTCCCTCCCTACATAGGGTCTTCAGCCTTAAACATTTTTAGAAGTAAACATATGTAAGCAGGTTTTCTTCTGAAATCTATATCCAACCAATGAACATGAAGAACTAGAAGAGAAGCCTGCCTACATACCGTAGTGCCACTCTCAAACTAAGAAGAGCACAAGACAGAAAAATGCCGGCCCCGCAGTCGTAAGTCAAAAGGACAAAGAACAGAAGAGGAATGAATGCTACAGGAAACATTCAGCTGTTTTCTAAACCATCAAAATTAGGCTACATATAGACATTCATCCAAAGCATTCCCTAAATTCTCTCAATTTAATGCTTTTAAGCATACTTTAAGGTGTTTGAGTCCACTTCCGGGCAAGTAAGAAAGCTTAACTAAAGCACTTTACCCAAGAACAAAATAATGTAACTGGCCCTAGGATACACTGGAGACAAATTTTTTTTTAAAAAAAAATTGTGTCCAAAACCTAAATCATAAAGAAACTACACTTTTAGCTAACCTGGTCCCATTTTTCAGGGGAAGAGGCACTGCTCTGACAATCTACTCACTGCACCGTGTGTCTACACACCTGGGAGTTAGGGAAACTTGGACGGGTCGCGCCGGACCCTCCTCCTCCACTAAACCACACCACCCGGCGCTCAGATAAAGAACACCCGGACCCGGCTCGCCCTTCTTCCCACAAACCCTTCCCCTGGGCGACAGCGGGCTTCCTGCGAACACAAACACAGCCTCCTCCCGCGCACTCTCCCGAAGCCCCGGACGCTTGGCGCCGGGCAGGGTGGAGAGGAGACGGCGCGGGCCGGACCGC